TGTGTGTGTGTGTGTGTGTGTGTGTGTGTGTGTGTGTGTGTGTAGATAGTAACATTTCAGTATGTTTTGCAAATAAGCAATATAATTGGAATCCATTAATTTTGTTTTCAATTCCAGGAAATTTTCTTGATACCAGATTAATGGTGGTATTGTACATATTCTATAGTTTTGTTGATAATTAGGACAAAGGAATGGCACATAATGCAACCTGAATGCCCACTTCATCCAATCTGCTCATTATTTGTGAATATTGCATTTCTAAAAATATAAATATGGTTTATCAATTAATTTGCTATTTTAATCTTCATTTTGACCTTATAAATCTAAGGAAAACATTTTCTGGTTTATATATATATATATATATATATATATATATATATATATATGTGTGTGTGTGTGTGTGTTCTCTTTCCTTCCATGATGTTGACACATGACCTCATCATCTTGCTCCTGATTGTCTCTGATTGAGGAACTGAGGACTTCCTTTTCTGACTTCTCCTGAGAAACTTTCACCGAAGAGACAGATACCACACCTACCTGCCTGGATTGTAATTTAAGTGTCTTTCTTCCTTTTATATTTCGCTATTAGCTTCATGTGTAGTAAACTTAATGAAATTTTTATTGTTCTGTGCATTAGCATTTTCTTCAGAGATCTATGCCCCATCATCGCTCAGAAAAGGGCTGACCTCCCAGGGACATCAAACAAACATGGCATAATATATTTACCATATTTTAACTACATACATTCGTAAATGTCTTACTAGATCTAAGGAAATCACATGGTATTCTTTCCACCTTTATATATCTTATATTTCTTGCCAAAGAAACACCTAATATTCATTTTTCTCCACAAATTTCCCTAAGCTCAGTGTTCTAAATGTTCTGTGATGTGTAGTCCACCTGTATCTTTTCATTTCAAATCTTGGGAAAGCACTCTACCTTTTAGGTTCTAGGTATTACCTTTCAGTTAATTTCACAATATTCCATTTGTATACCTGACATGGTTTGTTGAGTCTTTTCTCATCATAGAACAATCTTCCTTTTTTTTTTAATTTGGAAGGATATTTTACAGAAGAGAAACATAGTCACCATAAACAGATTTGGGGATGTTAGGCCCTTTTCTCATTTGTCAAAAGCAAACAGGAACCTTCATTATTTTAGAAACATTGCAATGAATTTGAACAGCTGTTTTCAGAATTTCAAGGTTCAAAGTGTATCTCAGCCAAGGCCCATCTCAGACTTACATTGTTGAGGCTGCCTTTGACCTACTATTCCTCCTGCCTCCATCTCCCAAGTTCTATGATTACTGGTTGTGTGACACTCTACCTCTGGAAACTTACTAGTACTTTGTCATAAACTATTGTGAAGATGTCATTTTGATCAATATTTAAAATATAATAATTTCCAGAACCAATTTGATTATACTTCAATGGTAAAATTCTTAACAAGCAAGAAAATGTCCTAGGCCCAATGTCAAAAGCCATTAAAGTATTTTAAAAATTAGTCAGGGAATCAATTATATACACATGCATACTACTGAAGTCCCCCATGTTTTTGAGGCCAAGGCAACACTATCACTTGATTCAAGAAATCTGAGATGATGCCATCCTTATTAAATATGATTCCATACATAATACGTGTAATTTTCCGACATTTACAAATTGAGTTTTGTTTGTTTCATCCCAATTCTTTCATGCTACTCTTCTGCTGAATTCATATCTTCTTCTAATTCCCTTACTGTTTTGTATTTTTATTTTAAGAAATTAAATGCTTTATAGAAGGCTTGGGTATTTACATAATTTCCACATCTCTATCTCTCCAACCCTTTCTGTGTATTCCTCATTCCACTTTCATATTCATGACCCTTTCATTACTATTGGTGATAACACACAAAAAACACAACACACACACACACACACACACGCACGCACACACACACACACACACACGCACGCACGCACACACACACACACACACACACACACACACACACACACACTCTCATATATAAATAGAATCTGCTGAAACCTATTAGTGTTCCTGGGTTAACCTATTAGTGTTCTTTGGGTATAAGGATACAATTTTTAATGCAATTACTGATTACAATGTTTTATGAAATTAGTGGTAATGTTGTCTAAGTTTTATGTTGTTAATACTCACATGACTTTTGATGTTTTGCATTATGAGGCATGAATTTTTGTAAAGTTAGTCAAGCCTTGGATACCATTAGGCAGAGGATAGTTATTGACAAGCTGTAAGGCTTCTGAGACATTTTTAATATCTTGCAATGCTGTTCATTAAAAGTATTATAACATTGTTGGACACTTGTTACTGTTTTCTCTTAACTGATCTAAGATTCAGTTATATCTGGGAAATGGATTTACCAGTCACTTCTTGGGAGAAACCAAGTGCAATAGTAATAGACAGTTCTCTTTTAGGAGACTCTTGGTTGGACCCCCCTCTTGCTAACAACTATATGTACATAGAGTCTGTTCAAGTAATGTTTATGTAGTCCCCATAGTCCTTTAAAATTAGAATCATAAGATATTATATATTTTTTGGTTACTTTACTTTTGCAGTCTAATATAAAAGGATTTGATTCTATTGAATAAGGGCAATTCTAGTCTTTTGGATGTGGTTGAATATGGGCTGATTATTTTACTTTTCCAACCAGCATTTCTCCAAATATCTGTTTTTCACAGAAGTATCGTCTCAGGCATATAACTAATTCACTACAACTTGTTTAAAGCAAGCTAAACAAAGTGAAAACAGATTTGTTACAGGCTTGAGTATATAGGGGAGAGATTATGAAGTCAGAGACCTGTCTATCAGCTATATAAAACATATAGCACCTGATGGGAAAAGGCAATCTGATGAAAACTTTGGGCTGAGTAGAAGCAAAGTGCAGATGAAAACACCAAAACTGAAGTTTTGTTTGGGAAGAACAAGGATTTTGTTCTTAATATATGAAAGATGTAAGGGAAAATGCTGACCATGCCCACAAGTGATTATGGTCAGAGTCACCTGTGCCAGGCCCCAAGTGTGCATAGTCAGCATTTCCCCCCTACAATATGAAACAACCTTAAGTGGAACAAATGGAATCAGATTCATAACTAGATTCATAACAGATGGTTTATTAGGAAAGTCCTCACACACCTGAGCCACCAACCAGGTTTACACCAGATGCCTACATGTGCATTCACCCAGGGGAGAGAGGGAAAAAAGGGCCTGCCTCAAGAGTTCATCTCTGATATTTAAAGTCTATGTCATTCTGACCTCGCCCAAGCACGAATGGACATTGGCAACTGTGCCAGCCCCAAAGTGGGAGTGTTCAGCATTTAAACCTACAGAACGAAACGATAAATTGAAGCTACTCTACACAAATTACCATTTTATTACAGAGTAAAATTTCAGCCTTTTTGTTTGTCTTCATAAGAGAGTAGGAGGTGTCATGTAGAGGCATGGACAATAGAGATTGTGGTGCAGTCTAGCAATGAGTTGAGGTCACCTGGACAATTAAAGTGATTTGAGAAATCACAGGATAATAGTCTTTCTTTCCTTGGTCACAGGTATGCTCCATACCTGTATGGATGATTTCTACCTAGGAAGCCATATCAGTGACTGAAGTGTCTGCAGCTGCAGAGGAAACATGGATGCTTCTGTGGATACAAAATTGTCTTTCATGATGACTTTCAGCCAGGAAAGTTACTTCAGTTTTAAGGTAAGTACTATGGTGAAAAGCTGTGTGAGTTTGTCAATTTAATAAGTGCTTCACATACTGCAGGTATATTAGATTAGATAAAATAAAATATATGCAAATTCCAGTTAGTATACTTTATAGGCATGGAGGTCAATAGATTAGGAGCCACATTTAGACCAATAACACAGAGCAGCTTCTGGCATCTCCAAAGCTGGAACCTGATGGAATCATGCAGCCATAAGTTAAAGGGACTGTGGTAATGGTCCTCAAATAATATTCAACACAGAAATGTCTAGAATTGAAGAAAAATTTCCACATGACCTATTTTTAATTAATATTTACTGGCATAGATGTAAATAATAAATGTATAATACATACAGATAGACATTTTACTGCCTTAAAAATTTCCTGCTGTACGTTCTTTTCAAATATCCATATCTCTGTATCTTAGGATATTTGGACATGTTTACAGGGGTTAGTCCTTTTTTTTTTCCTTTAACCATTACATAAGTGTATTTTTTGACAAGAAATATCAGAAAAAACTCACATGAGGAGTTGAACTGAAAGGCCTCTGATAACCCAGTAAGGGCTAAGCTTTGAAAATGATGATGTTTGTTGAAATTTAGGAATATCAGGATTTAACACAAATTCTACACCAATGTTTTGTTTATTTTCCCCAATGGAAATCATCCTTTTTATTTCTTTATCTGTTTTATTCATAACTCAAAGTTTACCAATATTGTTATTTTTATTATCCTACTATAGATACTTCTTTGTCTGTATTTCTTTCCTTTTTATGCATATATTTTTGGTTTTATTTATTTTTTCCAAATTTTAAATTTGAATTAGAAGCAGGGTTGTTTTACATGACAATCCCAGTTCCCTTCTCCTACCCGTCCTCCAGTATCCCCCATCCCCCCGCAACTAAAACCTTATATGTCACATGTTTTTCTGCTCCCCTGGATGGTGAGGCCTTCCATATGGTGTCATCAGAGTCTTTCGTATCCTTAGGGATAGGGCCTAGGCCCACCCCCATGTGTCTTGGCTAAGAGAATATTCCTCTATATGGAATGGGCTCACACAATACACAGCTATGATAGGAATAAATACTGGGCTTCTACAGAAGGTCCCATAGATTTCTGAGGTTTCCTCACAGAAGCCCATGTCTGGATCAGTCTCATGCTGGTATTCCAGCTATCAGACTGGGGGGCAAGTGTTCCCAGATATTCAGGTCAGCTGTTTCTGTGGGTTTCACTAGCCTGTTCTGGACCTCTGTGGTCTTCACTGGTATTTCTCTGCATCTGAGTTCCAGTTCAGTTATGGGTGTCTGCTTCTATTTCCACCAGCAGCTGGATGAAGGCTATAGAATGGCATATAAATCAGTCATCAATCTCATAATCAGCGGAAGGCATTTAAGGTAGCCTCACCTCCTTTGCTGACATAGTTAGCTCCTGCCATCTTTGTAGATCTCCAGACATTACCCTAGTGCCTTATTTCTCTGTAAACCAAAAATGTCTCCCTCTATTATGATATCTTCATTCTTGTTATCATGTATTCTTCCCTTGCCTCATACTTTTGCTCCCTCATGTCCTTGGCATCCCTCTTCTTCTCCCCTTCTCATTTTCCTAGATCCCTCTCCCTTCTTCCCTGTGCTCCCAATTTTTCTCAGCAGATCTTGAGCCTCTCCCCTTTTCCAGAGGACCAAGTATGTCTCTCTTAATATTCACCAACCCCACATCTGACAGAGGGCTGGTCTCCAAAATATACAAAGAACTCAAGAAGCTCATCCCCAAAACACCAAACAACCCAATTAAATAGTGGGATACGGAACTAAATAGACAATTCTCAATAGAGGAATCTAAAATGGCTGAAAGACACATAAGAAAGTGTTCAACATCCTTAGCCATCAGGGAAATGCAAATAAAAAAATAGTTGAGATACCATCTTACTCCTGTCAGAATGGCTAAAATCAAAAATACCAATGACAGTTTTAGCTGGGGAAGATGTGGAAAAAGAGGAACACTCCTCCACTGCTTGTGGGAGTGTCAACTTGTACAGCCACTGTGGAAATCAGTATGGCGATGCCTCAAGAAAATGGGAATGAGTCTACCACAAGATCCAGCAATTCCACTCTTAGGCATATACCCAAAAGTAGCATATTCATACAACAAGGACATATGTTCAACGATGTTCCTAGCAGCACTATTTGTAATAGTCAGAAACTGGAAGCAGCCTAGATGACTCTCAACTGAAGAATGGATAGAGAAATTGTGGTACATTAACACAATGGAGTACTACTTAGTGAAAAAACAAACAAACAAACAAAGGAATCTTGAAATTTGCAGGAAAATGAAGGGATCTAGTAGAAACCATTCTGAGTGAGGTAACTCAATCCCCAAAAGACAAACATGTTATGTACTCACTCATATGCAGATTTTAGGCATAGAGTAAGGATTATCAGCCTACAATCCACACTGTTCTACAGCAAAGTTACCAGCATTGTTCATCTTAAATTGCATGATGGTAGAGGGAAGCACAGATATAAGCTGACTGACCTAGAAGACTTTCTCTACCACATCAATTTTGTAAGAAATTCTAAAATCCAATTTATGGGAAAGTGTAGTGAATGTGAATGTTTGGCGAGAAGCTTGGCTCACATGTGATATGGAATATAATATAGAATCCTCTGCACTGTTCATGTCCACTACATCTTAGTGGCTCAGATTAGAATACCATAGAAACCTTCTTACTTTCTAATATTTCAGATAAATAAATTGAAACTTGAGGAGGCACTCAGAGTTGTGGTAAAGAATACTTGAGGATTACATAGAACAGTCAGCCTTTACAGTCCTTGACTATTATTCTAATGGCTACTTTTCCTTTTAAGGTCAAATATGCCTAGGTGGGAAGTTGCAGGGAATTTGTCAAGTCTTAGGACTCTTAAATCTGTTTCTGTATTTTCACTACCTGTGGTAATTGTCCACCTAGGTTCCTGATTTTATTATTAGTAGGAATGTGTAGTGTCTAGTTTCATAATCTACAGTTCATGACACTACTCCTCCACATTAGCCAACACTCTCTCAGACTCCTACTTCCCTGTTCTAAACACCTCACATGTTTAAGATTTGAGAAATTATCATTATTTTTGTTGCAGACTTTGCTGTGTATATAATAGCATCTTTCTTTTTATCCTTCTTATCTTTTGAGAAAATTTCAAATTTTTCTTTTATATAATTCACCCCCTGAGTTATTTATTCCGCTCCTTGAGGAAAATTCCACCTATATTCTATGCAAGTAATACTTGTTAAAGCATTGAATTCTTAGGTTTTTAATGTGTAGTGAAGTATTGAAGTGTATGTGGATAGCAGTTAAAATATAATATCAATAATGTGTGAAGGAATAAGCAGAAAGCTATGGCCTAAATTCAGACTGCAACATATACTTAACTTAGCTGGCAGAATAGAAAAGTAACAGTTTTCTTAGCTGTGCTTGCAATTCATTACAAGCCATATGTGAAATTCAAATATATAGAAGTTGTCTCCAGGATAGGCTTACACAGTTCTCATTGTGATGCCATAGCATAAATGTTATAATCAACTATTTCAAAACTTTGCCAGATTGTGCAACCCTGTCGGTTAATCTTGAATTGTAGTAGGCAGATAAATTTAAACATTTCCACAGACATTTTATATAAATTAGAAACAAGCTTTTTTAACATGCCAATCTCAGTTCCCTCTCCCTCCACTTCTCCCTTCCCATCAGAGATACCCTATCCCAAACTCTTTATGCTCCACACAGAGTGGGAGGCCTTCCTTGTGATTCAAAGTCTGTCCACAGACATTTTAAATTACTATTTTATACAGGAGTATCTTTTAAGTAATACAACTGATGACCTGGAGAATTTACCTGTGACAATTTTGGAAGACCATCCTATGTAGAATTATTTAATGTTTTTATGTATATGTAGAAGAGCAGGCATGGTGAGAAGACTGTTGCCTGATTACATAGCCTATTTTCCCCACCTATTTTATGCAACTATGCTCAAAGTAAACAGGAACTCTGATTGTGACTTGAGGGTAGAGGGTGAGTAAAAAGAGGGAATGACAGCTCTGTCTATGTCATTACAGAAAAGAAATAATTTCTTCTAGGTAAAATCATTCTGCTGCAACATATGGTTGGCAGTGCTCACACTACAGTCATTATTTCAACTATGTGGTGTAAGTAGTATCAATAGCCTTATGAGTTTCCCAGCTCTTATCTTGATATTATAATAAATAGGTCTACTCTTTTGAACATATTGAGTAGGATTGATAGGTAGAGTCTTCATCTCCTTTCAAATGTTGGATTATTTGTTACTCATGTGTTAGTGGGGAGCATGAACAAATAATGCAGATGAATTTGAGAAATCAGTGATGGTTCTTCTTGATGTGGGGAATAAGAAAAATTGTTGGTAGACATTTCTGTTTTCAAAACCACTCCCTATATAGCTGTACAGGAATGTAAGCCTAATTGTAAATGGTTGAACAATGGCTTAGTCTTGTTTCCATGCAGAACTCAGTACTTAATTCATTTTCATTTATCTAAGTGTTGCCATGAGGCTCCTTTACCTCATATACATACTTCACATTCTTCTCGATTTGTGTCTCATGTTGTCCCTCTGACTCCACACTTCTACCCAGTGTTCTGTTTGCCCTCAAAATCCTGCATAGCCTTTGGCCAATTGGCATTTTAATAACAACAATAGTAATATATATTCACAGTGTTTAAGGGATTAAACCACCAAGTTGCATGAGGAAGCACACAATTTATAGGTAATATTTACATGATTGTTTGAATATACAGGAATTTGGCAAGTAGTTTTACAGTCATGGAATGTACAAGGGTGTAATAACTTGTCTTTATGGTGAAGCCATATTGTAGAGTGTATGCATAGGGGAAATTAGAGTTTGTGGTCTATTCACTATTATGCTATGTTAGGCATTAATTTTTGTGGACACATGGAGTTAGTTCTGATGCATACCCAAGTAGGGCATAAATTCTGTGGACAGCTGAAAAATAAATATACATGCTATCACTGGTAATGATATTGTAGCTTTGAGACATCATGAATACTTTATGGACTGTACAAAAAAGGATATGGGGCTGGGATTTGTGGTGACATCTGACATAGTAAGCAAATTGGATAAAAGTAAAGAAATGGTGTTGCTAGATAATTTTTTCTTTAGGTGAGCCTATGGAATAGTGTCACAGATTATAGCAATATTATGCAAAATTGCCAGGGATCAGCAAAGCTGGATCCCATGGGAGAATCATTCAAGAAATTGAAAGCAAGTAATTTATAAATACAAATAGTTACCACATGAATACTCTCTTATAACAATTTGATACCTATTGGAAGCATTTATCCAGGGTTATTTCTTAAGATTATATATGTGAGAGATTGTCATGAAAATAATTCAACATAGAACATGTTGGTGATATGAAAATTAAAAAAACAAAACAAAACAAATTAGACTCTTTCATAGGCTGACTTGTATCTGTGCCACAAGGGGGCAAACAAGATCAGTCTTAGGTCTGTGGAAGCCTAGAAAAATGAGAAATATTATTATTCACTCTTGAGACACAGAATGCATAATCTGATTTATACATTGCACACCATTCTCTGATTGGCCTGGCTTATGTATCTAATCGGGATATCTCTCCATCAACAGTGGAATCCCTAGGGAAGTCAGAAGCTACAGGAGAGTAGAGGTACTTCTGAGGGAACTAAGTATGAAGAGAATTATATATGATGCGCTGTTGATTTGGTTCATAGTACTGAGTTCAAAATAAGGGCATTGAGACTATAATGGACCTTTCATGACATTGCTGATCATTATATTCAACAAGATTAAAAGATTGAAAGTCCTTTTTTAAAATTTGGATAATTTCTTAAGTTTTAGAAAAATATTTATTTTGTTTTTTTGTGACATATTCCCGCATGAAAACAGTGTCCATAAAGTGGTAATATATTGGCGTATATTCAAGAACCTATAAGCAAAGTAAGAGGTCTATCTTGTGCTATTATGATTTCTCTTGAAGCAGAACTCCTATGGTAAAAAATACTGAAACAAAGTATTATTCTGTAGTGAAGTGCTTCTGGGAGGCTTTCAAGCCTCATTAGTACTTCACAGAGAGCATCTATAATAAAGTAATATAGGTGAAGACAATCAAGCCTATCCTTGATGTTGGGAACTCTCCTTCCAGATTAATACCTTTGTCCCTTTCTTCAGTGAACAGACATGCTGCGAAGAGGATGATTTGCACAGCCAGGGCCTTCAACAGAAGAAAGATATTATGGATGGAGTGTAACACCTGCTACTATCGCCCAAACGCCAAGAAGTAAGGTCACTGATGACTCAGATAATACTAAAAATAGTCAGGTCCACAAGTTTCAGTGAGTTTTGTGCATATAGAGATTATATTTTAGTGAGAAAACTCTGTTAATTAGATTAATCTTACGTAGTCACACAGGTGTTTGCTTAAAAAGATCCACTCAGTTCCTTTCTGAGATGTAGTTTCTATAACAACCTCTAGTGTGACTTTTATAGCATAGAAAGCTAGTGCTTCAGGATGATATGGAAGTTCTAAATAAATGGTGCTTCACCAAAGCATGAGGTAAGTAGTAACCATGGCAGTGTAGGAAAGTGGTGGGAAGAATTTCATAGATTTGGATCTGAATGTATAATTTACTGGATTTTTATCATAATTTAATGATCTTATTTATATACTTCCATAATTATATATGAATTGACGTGTTGAGAATTCATTTTAGCAAAACAGTCTTGGCTAATGCCTTTCATTACAGGACTCGGGAGAAGGGAAGTCAAAGTTCTGAGTTTTTAGGCTTGCCTGGCATACATGTTGAGTTTTAGAACAGTAGGGCCCCACAGAGAAACCCTGTCTTGACCCTCCAAAATGTCTGGAGATCTACAAAGATGACACCAGCTAACAATCTAAGCAACAGAGAAGAGGCTACCTTAAATGCCCTCCCCGGATAATGAGATTGATGTCTGACTTATATGCCACCCGATAGCCCCCATCCTGCAGCTGGTGGATGTAGAAGCAGACACCAAAACTAATCACTGAACTGAACTGGTACCGAGATGCAAGGAAGGACGAGTGAAGAGCAAAGGGGTCCAGAGCAGGCTGGTGAAACCCACAGAAACAGATGACCTGAACATAGGGGAACTCTTGCTCCCCAGAATGATAGCTGGGACACCAGCATGGGACTGAGCCAGACCCCAGGATCATGGGTTTCAGTGAGGAAACCTCGGAAATCTACGGGACCTCCTGTAGTAGTTCAGTACTTATCCCTAGCATAGGTGTGAACTTTGAGAGCCCATTCCACTTAGAGGAATACTCCCTGAGCCAAGACACATGGGGCTGGGCCTAGGCCCTATCACAAATGATATGATAGACTCTGATAACACCCTATGGAAGGCCTCACCATCCAGGGAGAACAGAAAGGATATGTGATAAGTAGGGTTTTATTTATGGGGGTTGGTAGGGGATAACAGGAGAGAGAAGAGAACTGGGATTGTCATGTAAAATAATCCTGTTTCTAATTCAAAAGAAAAATCTGAAAAAAAGGAAAAAATAAAATAAAAAGGGTAATTCATGTCATATTTTATTAATGGCTTTTATTATTTTTAATTAAAATTGAAGTGTTTATTGAATTATATGTTTGTAAATGACGATTTAATATTACAAAATACTACCTATAGTTTGTACACACCTGCTACCATTTTAATGGATTTCTTTATTCAGACATCACATTATACAAAGCCTCACACAGTCTTCTTATTTCCTTGCCTAATTCTCAATATGAGGTGAGTTAATAATAATGGGATTGGCAAGTGTTGTTTGTGGTCATTCGTCCACATGGTCTTTCCTTAAATAACCCAGCTTAGTTCTTTTTCTCTGTTGGGAATCTGTTTCCTGAGAATTCATGAATTTCCTTTAGAAGGGATATTTCCTGGACTAGGGGCCCCAATTTCACTTGGAAAAGGTTCTTAAAAGTGCCTTATATATGTACATCAAAAATAATTATTATGCAAGTGGTGTTTATTCAGTGGAGCTGCTGATAAGCAGAGAAGGGAACATATACCTGGGCAGCTGTCAAAAGTTATTCCCTTTGCTGTTTTGAGGTTTTTGGTACTATGTGTGCCTCAATTCAATCTGTAAACCAAATATCTTCCTGATCCACCAAGCAGAAATTTAGAGAAATTTTCTTTTAATTTTATGGATGACCTGTACTGATTGAATGGACATTTTTTTCCCGAGTCTCTCTAGCAAAATAGATAACAGGAATGCATGTCAAGGTACAATATATATTTTTATTAAAAATTATTAAGTTTTGAGTTTATAATATGATTACTTAATTCATTCCTATTTTTTCTTCCTATAAATCCTCTGATTCATACCTGCTTACTCTTTAATTTCATGGTCTTTTTTAACTATAAGTTGATGTTACACATCTGAAACTATAACTATTTGCATATATCATTCCAAGTAATGAATTACACCCTTTTTTGTTTGTGCAATATAATTTTATATGTTTTCAGGGTGGCCCATTATCCATTTTTGTGTGTGGTTAACATATTAAAGTATTTCTTTTTAAAACTCTTGGATTAGTTACATTTTCTCAAGTGTTCTTTGCTTTAGCTCATATGGAAGAAAATTATTTAGTCCTTTGAGCATTCCTATAGACACTTACTTGTCTAAAGTTCACATGAAACTCTAGCTGGCATCCATGTACCTCAGACTTTCAGAAGTATATTCTTCAGTTGTTTAGTTGATATCAGGACTCCTGTTATACTTTTCTACTTCCTGAACACTTAGGAAATTTTCTTTTCTCCAGCATCATGTGGCAGATTAGGAGCCCATAGAAACACACCAAGTAGCCCCAACTAGAGGGTGCATATAGGAAATTTATCTCCTTTGCAATAAAAACTGTACATCTTAGAAAGTATTATATTTATTAATACTTCAGAGTTTAATTTTAAGATATTGGAAGTGCAAAGAATGCTCCTATCTTGTTCTTATTTTTTTAGACAATGTTATCAATACATGATTTATTGTGGTTTAGTAAATATTTTAAACAATTTTAACCATTACAACTAAAGAATGACAAGAATGTAGCACTGTATTGATTAGAAGTTTCTGACTATTCATGCTTAAACATTTCTGTTTTATTTAAAGTCTCTGATGTTTAGTATTTTAGTTGTTCAAGATAATCTCAGACTGAGTCAAGGAAGGGAGAAGGTTCTCCCCAACTGACAAGAAGTTCTTGCTGAAGATACAGTCATAACAACTACCTAGTGGTAATGTAAATCTTGGGATTTATCCTATTCTTGAGTGGTTTTTGTATGTAAAATTCCATTTATATTTTTATTTCATGTGTTAGCATGTGTGCTTGCCATACTTTAAAATCCTTATATTATGTGTATGTCTTAGTATTTCTTTAGAAGTCACAGGATATTCTCACATGTAGACATAGTTAATGTTTTTAAAGCATACAAGCACCACCTGTCCATTTCTCCAGTAATTGCTCTGAGGACAATATCCAGTGAACGCTCTGTGAAATGGCATAAACTTGAATCATTTCCTGTTTATCTTTTGGGAAAATACTGAAGGTTTAGGACTTTAGGTATTTTCTTCCATTTAAATTTATGAAATTACAGTTCTACTCCTGAACTGATTTGTTGAATCTTTTTTTTTCTTCTCAGATGAATCTTTAATTTTTGAAGTTAACATGAAATTTATTTGTGAGTTCATTGCTAAAAGAGTTAAGTTTGATGAATCGCATTGCATTTCCTTATGAAGCATGAAGTAGTCATGTCATACATACTTCATGGAACACAGATTTCCACCATGCTTACTGACATTTATGGAAGTCCAGTATTTCTTCTGTAAGTCTGGGAATTTTTCCTCCCTTTTACATTATTGAAAAGTGTGTTTGTTATACAGTAAGTCCACAAAGAGTTGTGAAAGAAAAATATCCTCTTATATTTATAAAGTTTCAAGCTGCTAAGGGTCAAATCCTCCATAGCATATTTTTACAAATGTAGTTTTGTTGGAATGCATCATTAGTCACTAACTCACACCGTGTTATTGAGACTTTTCATTACTGTCACCAATGATTCAAAGGAACATTTGTCTTAGCTTGTGACTGCAGAGGGTCCCATGAACAGCTGACTTGCTGCATTGTTTCTTGTTCTCTGGTAAAGTAGTGTTCCATTATGGCAGGACATTATAAAACACAGAAGTTCACTTCATAACAAACAGGAAACAGAAGAGAGTGACCACAATGGGTCAGATCCAAGATATTCCCTCCACAGGTTTTCCCTTGGAAACCCCCTTCTGTAATGAAATCCCTATTTGCACATTTATTGCTACTCCAATTTTAAATCATTCATAGATGGAACAACTATTCAGAGGACCCTCCTTTCTTTGTACATCTGAACATATACACCCAGAGTGCCTTGCCCTTCAATCCTGGGTGTTCATCAGTCAAATCAACTTCACAATCCAGATTATCTGTCATGCTTCACATACAAGTATTATTTTAGTATTAATTTGTATTTCCTATTATTAATTAATTGTTTTCATCTATTTTACCTCCCAAATATAATTTTGCTTCATCTTCTCCTCTACTTCCCCCATTCCATTCCAATCCACTCCTCTGTTTCTCTTCTGAAAGTGATAGGCCTCCATTGGGTATCAACAAAATTGGCATATCAAATTGCAGTAAGACTAAGAACCTCTGCTTGTATTAATGTTCGACAAGGCTTGGTAATCCTGTTGAAGAGAGGGAGGAAGGATTGTACAAGTCTGGAGAGTCAAAGTCACAACAAGATAACTCAAAGAATCAATTAACCTGGGCTCATGGGAACAAATAGCCTTTGCACAGAGAGCTAGTGCTCCTTTAATAGGACTGACCTAGGCCTTCTACATATGTCTGACCATTGTCTAGCTTGATCTACTTGTGGGACTCATGGTGGAAGAAACAAGGCCTGTCTCTAAATCTCTGCCTGTCTTCCAGGAACCTGGTTTCCTTGCCCAGCCTTAATACAAGTGGATTAATGTTTCTAAATAAATATATTGTTTTCATATATTTACAAGAGCTTGGGTCATTTTCATCCAAATTATCTTATCTCATTCTACTCTCCTATGAAAACTGTACTTTCCAAGTCTCTTTGTCACACTGTTTACCTTTTAGTTAATATTACAACTCTGTAATACAATTCTTGCACATTTAAATAAGATCCACCTCAGTATTTTTCAAACTCTTACTGTGCACACATCAGTCCAGTCTGAAATTTATTAACACTTCATAAATTATTATTGTTATATCTATACACATAATAACAATTACATATTGACAATATATAAATATAACCCAATGAATCCATTTGTTGTGTCTAGCTCTCAAATATTCAGTGGAAAAACCAACAAAAAGGGTAATGCAGTTAGATATTTTAATGTTTTATTAAAATGGGTTTAAGGGCCTCTAACTGCCATGAACCATGAGTCCTGTGAATTATTTTTATGAATTACAATATTAGGCAGGATTCATCTCTTTTAAGAAGGACTTAGATTACATTATAGAGATATTAGTTATTAAAAGGTATCTGAGCCAGTAGTACACATTTAGTGTATTCTAGCCATGGTAGTCTGTGTAATTCAAAGGTGCCAAAATTAAATTGATTAATTGATTAAATTGATTAATTTCTTCCTTAAAAGATTTCCTAATACCTTTCTGGTTCCTGCAGGTTTCATGGATTTATGAGCTCCTGTTTGAATTTATATAGATCCATAACAATAAATCAGTATTGACCTATAACTATTGTTATATTCTGGAATTTGCTGAAGTTATTTGACCTGGGAATATTATTTGGTTATTGACTGCTTCACTTTACACAAGGTTATAACCTTTCAAAAATAGTAACTATCTTGTTTGTCTTGAACACCAGATATCTAAGAACCACAAATGTGTACTATTTATTTTCCTCACTAACTGCTTTGAAGAAACCTGCCAAGACAATGTGAGATGGAGATGACAAGGGTTGATATTCTTAGTTACTAACCAATATACACAAATACTGTCTTTAAGGATCTGCTAATTCCATACAAAATATGGCATACTTTCTATATGTTTGAAGGGTTTATTTCAGTTATTAACTCATTTTTTTTCAGTTTGTGTTTGGTATATGAATTTATAAATTTCTTTCCTTTTGTAGTTTCAGTTATTTTATTCTCAAATGAAACCCCTAAAATGATTTTGAAAGTTAAACAATAATGGCTTTGCATATCAAGTAGTAGTACAGTTTTTAAAATAATTACTGATATTCAAAAGGGAATTTTTCCTAAATAGACAGTAAATGAAAAAGGTAACAACATGATCTTGGGAGCAGGTACAGACTAGCTCAGCTTTCATTACTCTCCTCACCCTAGACAATTAAACAAGATTACATTTGTGGGATGATGTATAATACAGGTGTGGATTTGAGCCATCAAAGCACTTGGTTTTTGTAGAGAAAATAAGTTACTTGTATGGCGTTTAGTAAGTGTGACATCTTGGTAATTCATAAGATGAACAAAAGCTGACACTTGAAGAAAATTGGTAAAATTCCTGGAAAACAAGGATTTTACTATGTAGAATCCTAGGACTATAAGCAATGTCTTTCACATTAACATAGTCATGTTTGAATGAATTTCAAAATATGAAATTAAGTATGTATGCCTATTTCTCTGTGTGTGTATATTTCAAACACTCTCCCAGTCACACACTGATAATGTATGAAACTAAAAAAACACTTCAACAATGTTTAAAGTTGATTTATTTAGTGGAATCTTCTTTCACACGTACATAAAGGAACTTTATAACTGAGAGGCTAATTGGTTAGGTTCAAAGTGAAAGATAGTGTAGCCTACATGATTATTTAGCATACAAACACAGCTTAGAGAGTGTCCTCACCAGGAATGTAACACATTCCCTTAGAACTCCTTTTCTCTTTTCTTCTTCCATGACAAACACTCATTTTACCACTGCTTAAAATAAAGTCCATTAAGAGGAAGACACAGGTCTTTTTTTAAAATGACATTTAAACACCAGTTTAGAGCTTCTGCCACACGAACGGGAAAATCCTAGTGTATGTGCAAAGATATAATCCGTGCCCATTTGAGCTGGGAAAACAAGAGTCACAGAGTAGAAAGGACTACACAATCATTCCACAATCTTGTTCTCAGTCTTACTCAGTAGATCATAAGTTGTTACTGTACATCACAAAATGTCCCTGAAGTATATGAAGTATACCCCACACTCAATTTACCCATAAAGCCATCCAATTTGGAATAATGAAGTGATGCACATATTTTGAATTAGGAAAATATGTAGCTGATAGTTGTTAAATGTGGATTGACAGATGTAATCACTGACCACCTTTCTCACTTGTTTACACTTCATAAAAACTACTCAGTGCTTCCATTTTCTCTATTTTGAATGTAGAAGATTACCTGCATATTCATCCTGACATGATTTACAACAGCAGAAATCAGAGTGTTTATTTTGATGTTATTTTTGCTAGAGTTTTATAATAATCAGATAATTGTGCTTCACAATTTTTCATCATGTATCTTGAATACTACAGTATATATTTTTACCTCCAAAGAGACTCATAACCACAGAAACACACTATCAAATTCATAACACAGGGGAATGACACAAAAGGGATTAACAGTAAGATTCAAAGAACAAATATAATACAAAGATGTCCCTTTTGATATCAGGGGTATGGAGGATGCAGTTATAAGTTTCCTATTAGGACAATGTTAGATCTCCTGAAATTTATGAAGTGCTACTACCATGGTGAGGTTCATCCAGGAGACCCATTTCCAGAGGAGTTTCACACACCAACTTGTCAGATATGTGCCTTTACAGCCTTCGTACTTTAGCATAAGATATGAGAAGTGTGTCTAGTTTTTATCAATATTGTATGAAGTTTCAATTTTCACTAATTGGTTTTTTAGCAAGAAACACTAAATAGCATTCATTCCAAAACACATTTGATTTCATATTGAATTGGCAACCAATTTCTAGGCATTGTGCTGTTATTGGTGTAGTTTGGCTACCCAGTAAAACTGCATTTGTAAACTATCATTTTTTCTGTAGTAGTTGTTAATAACTTGGTATTGCTTATTGTTTAGGGATAGGAGATCATTATTCCTTCCAATTCTCAATTTTGGTCCTAGACATTTCTGTGCTTGCTTCCATGTATTTTGTTTTTCATTTGCGTTCAAACGTGGGTCAATATTGTTTCCACAAGGCACTGTATGCTCTGAGTTTTCCATCCCCATTGAATTATAATTGCTTTTCTAAAATATCCCTGAAATTATTTCTTAACAGTTCTGACTATGTAATTTAACACTCCATGCTGATTTGGAATGTTGCATGATCAGGGCAGTAAAACACATCTTTATTTAATCCAAGTATTTTTTAAGAATACTGTAATAGAAATTAACGTCCACCATTGTGATATAAGGCATGAATATAATCACAGTGTTTGGTGAAACAGTGAAAGGGAAATTGAAGTTTCCACAGAATGCTACAATCGGCAGCCATCAATAACAATTAGAAGGCCCAGACAAAAATGGAAGCTTGTTGGTGAATAGTCAGAATAAAGGCCTGTGGAGACAGATAAATGCTCAGCCTCCAAACAACAGTGGCTTGTTTTGCCTGTCATCAATGTGCGCCAGAGACCAAAGCAAATTGCATTTTTCCTGTCTTTCTCTATCATTTTCCTTGATTCTGTTGTAACACCCCATGAAGAAGGCGCTCAGGATTGCTAGCAAAGATCAAAAGGATTCTACTTGAATTTGCTAAAAAGTTACCCCAAACTGTGATTTTTAA